CTCTGATGGCCCTTGTGGCTCCTGCTCCACCGTGGTTGCCCACTCTCTTGGGACTGCAAAGGAGAAGAGAGGCTGGTTTCTGCAGAAGCAGAAGTTTTCAGTGGGGTGTGGCCCATGGGAGTCGGAAAGCACAGACACGGGGACTGGTGCGCTGCCATTGGCTTTGGTGCGGCCATCCCCGAAACTGCTCAGGGTCTCCCGGGACGGCGGTGGCGTTCTGCAGCTTGGGGTTAGGGTGCTGGGCAGGGCTGTAGGGCTCAGCCTACTGAGAATCGACCCAAATCCCTGGGGCAGGGGAGAGCAGGGCCAGCTTCCATGTGGGAACAGGGGGCTCACGGGGCTGGCCCCACCCAGGATGGAGGTTCCCCCTCTCTGTGCTCTGCCCTGGGGTTTGAGCATCGCTGCTGGGCAGAAATATTTGCCCTAAAGCCTAAAAGGGGTTTCCACATTGCAATGTGACCTCTTGCTCTTCTCCCCTCCTCCTGACCACATGTCCCTGCTCTGTCAGCAAGGAGACCACAAGGCAACCATGTCCCAGAGCTCAAAGGGTCACCCTAAGCGTCCCCCTTTGCTCTGCCCTCGTCCCCAGCCCCGTGCTCCCGCAGCAGCAGGCAGGCAAGTTGGGCAGGCACCACTTGCCCTTGGTAAATCCCGCTGGGCTCCCCCCAGCCACCACCATGTCCTCCCTGGGCCTGGACCACTCTCTACCCAGGAGGACATGCTCCATCTTCTTCCTGGGGGTTGGGTGGAAGCTGCTCAGCCTTTGGCTTTCCAAACCTCTTCCCTGTCCCCTTCAAAGCTGGCCGTGATTTTTGCCTTTCTCCAGCGATCAAGGACTTCCCTGGCTCTTGCAGGGATGACGGAGAGCGGCCTTGCAATGCTGCACTCCGCCAGCACCCCTGCACACCTCCAGTCCTGTCCCAGGAATTGGCTGTGTCCAGATGGGCCCAGATGGTCCCCAGCTCAGTGCCCCTTCTGAAACCTGCCGCCCTCTGGGTGCAGCTCAGTAGAGACCTCTGAGATGCTGGGGACAGGAGGTTGGGACCAAGGAGGAGATGCTGCGAGTGCTGGGGTTGTGACCTGGGGAAGGGAAGGCACAGTGGGCGTCATTGCTCTATGTAACCCCTGGGGGGGGGTGGGCAGAGGGTGTTGGAGTGATGCCGAAGCCGGGCTTTTCTAGGAAGGGACCAGGGAGAGGACAAGAGGCAGTGGGCGCAAGCCACATCATGGGGAAATCCCCATTCCTAAAGGCCGAGACGGAAACTTGCATCCATGAAGATCTTCAGCCTTCCCCAGGGCTGTCCCCAGGGCAACGTGCTCCTCTGTCCAGGCTGCCTCAGCTCTCCCCTGGCCCAGGGATTTGGGTCCATCCTTCCTCTGCCGCTGCCCTGACCTCAGGCCATGCTGCCCTGGCGCCGCCACGTGCCCGGGGACCATGAGCACTTTCGGGGCGTGGGAGGGGATGGGCCAGTGGTGCTGGGACCAATGAGAGGGTGCTGGTCCCCGCAGCTTTGCCTCGCTGGTCCCATCTGCACCATCTCAGAGCAAACTTCTGCTTCTGCAGCCGCTGGCTGCACTTCTCCTTTGCACCCCCGAGAGACGGCGCAATCGCCGGGGAGCAGGACCATCCCAGCAAGGCATCTCAAGGGCAGGGTGGGAGCCAGCAGGGCTCAGGGCTTGCCCAGCACTTGCCCACATGGCCCAGAGCGTGGTTTATGCTGACCTGAGGTTTGCCAAGGTGATGGGGGGCCGGAGCATGGCCAGCCAGGCGCTGGAGGCAGGTGAGAGCCCACGGGACCCCCCACTCTGCCCCTGCCGTGCCTAGCCCTGTGGACTCAGCCGCTCCCCCCTGCCTTCCCCCAACAGCCCTTGGGATGGACGAGGCAGAGAGCCCCTACGAGAACATGCAGTCGGCGCCGGCAGGGCAGGACGGGGACGGGGCCCAGCCCAGCCCAGGTGAGTGCCCAGCTGGAGCCCAGGGGACCTGGGGAGACCCTGGCGTGAGTGGTGGGTGGTGTTCTGGGGTGCTCCTGCTCCCATCCTTGAAGAGAGGAAGCACCCACACTGTGCCACCTGGGCCACCATGCTGCTGCTCTGCTGGCTGCCAGCGGGAGGTCTGGGGGCTGACAGGGGTTTCCCAGCTCACCAGGTGATACCTGTGGTCGGTTGTGCCTTGCAGGGCGCTGGTCCTGGCGGTGGTGCATCCCTATGGGGCTGCTGGCAACCTGCCTGCTGCTGCTGGTGGCCACCATCGCTCTGGGGGCTTGCTGTGAGTCAGGGTGGGGGCACTTCTGGGGACGGGGGTGGCTGAGCAGCACGGGGAGAGGGAGGCAGCCGGGCTGGGGCTGGTGCTGTGGGTGAACGGGGGGGGGAATAGAGGCATGCCCAGGCACACTGCTCGTGGCCAGGTGCCTCTGCCCTGCCTGCCACTAGCTGGCCTGCATCCCTCACACATTGTGGGTGCCCCCCTTGCCTCCTATCACCCACCTTCCCCACCACCTTCTCTGTTTC